AATAATTTAGATATAATTAATTCAAAAGCTCACGAAGAATAACCATGATTAATTTGAGAAATGTGAGAAAATTAGTATGTTAACATAAGCGTATTTTAAAATGATATTTTCAAAAATATATTTATATCACGTTCCTACATAAAATGTAAAATTAATTTTTTAACGAATTTTGTTTTCCAAGAAATTTCTCACTTTGACGAAACTCTACAAGTAAACAAGCAATAGATTATTCCTTTTAGAATGTGAGATTAAAGGAGATTTAAAATTAGTTCTTTGAAAAGGTAATACACTTTTAATAATTAAATTTTGCCCATAATAGTTTAACCAAGATTATTTTATTTGAAAGTACAATAAAAGGTAAATAGGAGTATTTCTTTTGGTTTTAATTAAATTAATTTGAAATTAATTGCCTCATTTTTATTGTAAACATATTTATTTGGAATTTGTTCTCTCCATTTTTCTGTCTGCAAACTACAATAAGTTTATGTTTAGTTAGTAAATTGAAAAGAAATGTAAAATATATTTAAATTTCTTTGCCGTAGAAACTTGCATGTTCATTTATATTATTGCATTAACTAATCATTTGACACAAAAATTGAAAGTTAGATAGTGATTTATTATACAAATGGCCAGAATTTGTATAATAGAAAGTACAGATTGGTTAAGAAGCCTCGGACACTAAGCAAGGCGGCCAAAATCCACCTTTCTCATTTTTTCTTCCCTGAGGAGGGAAAACAGTACTGGATGATTATAGAAAGATATGGATGTTTCAAAGCCAGTACATTATGTATCTAGGCTTTGCTAAAGCCTAGGCCCTCATAAGTTAACAGAAATCACTGAATATTTCCCAACTATATCCTTTTTAAAATAAATTAAGGATCATCTACAGAATTAAGAACTAATTAAGAAGTTTAATTAATTACGAATCGTGTACAAAAGTCATTACAAATCCTGTTATATTAACTTAAATGATTTTCATTTAATTTAAATGAAGAAACAAATCAATTCCATTTGTAACTAATCAGCAAGCAATTCAGTTTGGATTCTGACTCCTTATTTTATTTAAATTAACACAGCAATTTAAGGAAAATGATTTATTAAATCATTATACAATAATAAAAGTATTAATTTAGCTATTTCTATTTCGGGTTCTTTTAAGATTCTCTTCAAATTATTTAAGCACTTTTATTAAAAAAAATTTATTTGCGAACATTCTGGAATCATTATCAAACTCATTTATATATTTTAAAATTATAAGTAAATATTTATGAAATTTATAGCCAAAAGCGATCGTGAAGGAATTCAGAATATTGTTGCAATCCCCTTTGGCCTCAATAATTCTAAAAGCGAGATTCTAAGGAACAAATCTATTCCAACATATTCAAACAAAATCCGAAAAGCGTGATTGGTTAATTTCACTCCTACTCACAGTATCTTCAGGTTGACTAGACTGTCAAAGACTCCACGGGGAAGTGATTTGAGACTGCAGTGGCGAAGATCCCTGGAAAAGAAGGAAATAAATATTGCAAATACAAGTCCACTATTTTTTTACATTATTTGGAAGTCACTTATTCCAAATAATGTAAAAAACACTTTATTCGTAGGTTCCAAGTTTGTAAGGTTTCACAATGAAAGCGAATTTAAACTTCTTCTCTATGCAGGAACACAAAAGTTTTCTTATTTTACTTATGTGGACCTGCTGAGACGTCTGAATGTCATTCCTATTCCTCCTTTCTACCCTTCCCCACATCATGGAATGTGCCAAAAGAAAATCATTTGACTTTTTTTTTACTGTGCATTTGTGCTATGTGGCAGCTTTTTCGTAAAAGTTACGACACGCGCGTGTTCAGGGATGAAAATTCGGAAAATATTTTTTTCTCAAACATTTTGTAATTTTGTGTTAATTGCCGTGTATTATTTTAATTTGAATACATTTGGCTCTGTAATTTTATATAAGTTTTCATGGCAAAAAAATGTGTTACCAGCTGATTTTGCTCACATTCTTCAAGAATTATCTGACTAAGAAAAGGAAGACAAAAAAAACCTTTGGATAGGATAACAATAACGATTTCCATTCTTTATTTTCTTTTGTTTCTATTTTCTATAAATAAATAAAAATATTAGAGTTAGTTTAAAGTGCGTTTTTGTAACCAGTGAGAAGTAAATTTCCTTGCAGAAGTAAGTAATGCTAAACTTACTTTTTTTCCTACCAAGGTGTTTTCCGTTTTATTTGGCATACTTGCCTTTGATGAATATTAAAATTAAATCGATTTCAAAATAAAATTATTAATAATAAATTTAAAATGTTCTATAAGGAAATACATCATTGCATTTCCATCTCACTAACATAAGAACGTAAAAATAATTTACTTATATTTGAATATGATAACATTTGTATTTTGCAATAATAAGATTAATATTTTAATTCTTAACAAATTTATTATCAATATTCACTCATTTCTGTCGTTTTTCGTGCCACAAATGGTAAAATAACGGATGTAGTAAAAAATACGACGCGCGCGTGCTCATATAAAATTACCAAGCACGAGTGCTGGAAGGTTAACTTTACTAGCTTTTTGCTTCATTTATGTTGGCGTATAAGATGTCCATAAATGTTGGCATAATAGAAGTATAGGCAGCATTCCTAAGCATGCCACATCTGAAGCTTACAAGAAAAAATATACTATTTTTATACACTCATTTATAATATAATCCCCCCTTTCCTCATGCCTTCGTGGTATAATTAGAAGCATACTCGACACGTATTCTAGAGGTCCAGAGTTCGATTTCCGGCGAGGGCACTGCTCATTTTTCATGTCTAATGCTTCAAAGAATTCTCACGACTCTAGAAATGGCACCCGAACTAGAAGGTGGTGGACAAAAACTCGTCACCACCAGGATTTGGCAAACGAGTCCCCTAATCCCCAGTCACCTTTTAAAAGGGGGTATATTAGGTACTTTCTCTTTCCTTATGCCTTCGTGGTGAAATTGGAAGCATACACGGTATTCAAGAGGTTCAAGGTTCGAAAATCGGGGAGAACACTGCTCGTTTTTCACATCCCCTGCTTCAAAAAAAAAAAAAAAAAAAAAATTACTAATGACTTTACAATGTTTTTATATATGTTTAATAACGAAAACAAATCCCTTTACTTTCGAAATTTGGAAGAGAAAGCTCGGTATAAAAAAAAAAAAATTATGAATATCGATAAACTTCCGAAATCTGAAATAATATTTAAATTAAAATTTTTTCTAAATCTCATCCAAATTTCAAGAAAATCTTGTAAAAATAGCCCATTTTAAATTTCTCTATTTTGAGATTCTTATAATTTGTTTATTACTAATATGAATGCTTTTCTAAATTATAGTCACAACTAATTTTATTTCTTATATATAAAGATATTGTTACGAAATGTATAAAATAGCTTCCCCGCAAAGCAATTTTAGGGTTACCATAAAAGAGCAAGGAAGGCATGGTTGCCCATTTGGCGACAAAATTGGCAATATGCCATAGACGGAGGGAGAACTTTCTGGAACGAATTCGTACCGGTTTAGCCCAGAATGTTCTCGAACACAAGCCGAAAGCTATATAAACCCTGCTGGTCATCAAGTCAGTGAGTGCCTTCTCTTGAGTGCGAGATAGTTAGTCTCGAGTTAATCAGTCCGTGCGGAGACGATCGAGTTGACAGCCGGGCAGCGATTGCCGAGTGGGTCGTCGAGTGCATCGAAGAGTTTCTTAGTGTATCGCGGTTAGTGCATCGTCGAGAGAGTGTGTTAAGCTCCGGGAACGACTGAACCGAAGAGTCGAGTGCATCGCGAGTTGTAGTGTGGAGAGTCTCGAGAGCACGTGGAGTTCCGAGAACGACCAAGCAGAGTCGGAAGTTGTACTCTGGTGCTTTGCAACGAAGCTGTCTCCACCGTTATAGCCTGATAGTGTGAAGGCTGTGTAGCTGACTGTATCAGCGTGTTTATAACAGTTCTTCTACGACTGTAAAACGTGATTTTGGAGCTGTCCTGATTAATATTGGCTAAATAAAGTGTGTTTCGATACTACAAGAAGTGTTGTCATTATTCACTCTAAATCCGCACGATCCCCGTATATGCGTAACGTAGCGTAACAATATATAAGAGATTATAAGCGTTTGGAAGCTTATTTGGAGATCCCATTATGCTAGCCATAATGAGAATTCAGAATTCAGCATGTGCAAAAGAAAGAATTACCGTATTTGACGGCATATAAGACGCACCCTTATTTAGACGGCCACACACAAGGAAAAAAAGTTTCAATAGCGTGGTTTCTTTTAGTTCTCACGTTTCGTAAAAGCCAAATAAACAATTATTGAATGCAATTACCTTCACGTATAAGACTGTGTCCTTCGCGTATAAGACGCAGGTAACACTTTTGAGACCAAATTTAGGAAAGAAAGTGCGTCTTATATGCCTTCAAATACGGTTCTTGTAAACGATAAAGCGACTTGTAGGTTTTTTTTTTTTTTTTTTTTTTTTACATTTATGAGGGAATGTAATATAAATATCAAACTCGAAGTTCGAATAATTAATACGAGCCAGTTTCCCTTAAAAAGCCCTCCACGAAGGCTTTCCTACCTTCCGTGTAATACCTTAGGCCGGAACACGTAAATAATGATGATATGTTCGAATAAGTAAATAATGCTGCAATTTAAAGTCATACCATGCTATATACGGTTCTATATGAAAATCGTATGCATTGCGTACTCGATATATTAATAGCTGATGCCTTATACTATTGAGAAGTGGAATATTGAGTAAAAAAATCAAGAAATTCACTTACAATCTTTGAAGATTGTGCAGACCATCAAACGCCCCTTCTGCTAAGGCTGATAAAGGGTTGTAAGATAAATCTCTGGAAAAAATAAAGAGTCTTTGTAATCATTCGCTTCGATTTATCTAAAAAAAAACTTTTCACAAATTCCTAGAGTTATATATTTTTATCTATTTGAATCTTTTTAACAAATACTTATTTTATCCTAAATAATTTTACCCATTCATATATACAATCTCGCTCTGTAAACTCTTTCATCATCTCATTTATATATAGAAAACCTTCTGCCATTTAAATTCTACTCTACTTTCCAGACTTTATTTCTATTGAATTACCTTAAATAACTGCAGCGAAACGTATCGAATTCAAAGAATGAAACATTCAATGAATATTTAAATAGAATTATTTATTCCTTTTTCAGTCGCACTGAGGAAAAATATACAAGAAGTTGCAAAACGAAGATTAACAATTATTTCAGAACTATAGTAAAAGATCAACAATTATTTCAGAATTATAGTAAAAGATTAACAATTATTTCAGAACTATAGTAAAAGATTAACAATTATTTCAGAACCATAGTGAAAGATTAACAATTATTTCAGAACTATAGTAAAAGATTAACAGTTATTTCAGAACTATAGTAAAAGATTAACAATTATTTCAGAACTATAGTAAAAGATTAACAATTTCAGAACTATAGTACCTTTTTATAGTTTGGTTCGATGTCTTTTCTTTCAAAGCATATTATTTTCATCATTACGCATGTTTTACAAATAGCTTTTCTATGTATACGTGTACATCTTGCAAAAAAAAAAAAAAAAAAAAAAAAAAAGAGGGGGGGACTGTTCTATATCTCACGTTCTATTAGACCGAGAAGAAATTAAACTTGCATTTTTCATGTATGGAAAGCGCGACTTAGGATATGTATTAGAATTATAGACAGCATTTATGTAATATAGGTATTTTGATACAAAATCGATTTTCTTCCAAAATCACATACCTATTTTTTCTATATTTCGATTCTTCGGCTTGTAAAAATCACGCGAGTAGTTTTTAAAATTTAACTCTCAAATTTTACCTCCTCAATGTTAACTGAATTTGGTATATATTTATTAATATCTCTTTTTCTTAATTAAACATATTTGATTCTTTATTTCAAGGTTGGAAATTTAGGTTCAATCCAAATAAAATTTGCAGATATTTTCTCATTTGTATATTTTAGTAGTTTTTATAAGTCGTTCGAAACTCATTTTGAATTATAGCTTATAAAATTTATATTATCACCAAAGATATGTATTTCTATGCATATCTTGTATCATATGAAAGTAGATGTATTTCTATTCATACTTGCGAAATTTCCAAACAAATGTATATTTTAGTAGTTTTTATTCAAAATTTCCAAACAACAAATGCTTACATTTGTGTATTTTGAAATCAGCATATTTATTATAAGCAACAATTACGCAAATGTGGTTCACGCACTTTCTTATCATGCAGATTAGTAGGAAGAGGAAAAAAGGTTACCATAAAATTAAGAATTTTGCCAATAGAATTTTTCTTGGCACAAACTGAAAAAAGTGGCCAAGATAAATTTTAAATTTCTGTGTACGTTTCTCACCAAATATTTCAAAAGTTAACCTTCAGGCGTAATGAATCTAAAAATCGAAATATGGGAAAAACGTATATATATATATGTGGTAATGCGCTCCTACAACTCAACCTTCCTCCTTCCTAAATCTGGCAACAGCGACAGCAGCGAGATACTTCTTCAAGCTGCGTGAGGAAATGGACAGACTTGCATTCCGATGATGTGAGAACGTGGCGTTGGATGGAGCTGAACCATGCCGGTCGAGAACATTGATTGACGATGCGATTCTGTTTCACGATGAAGAACTTTTTATCTTACTTCCTTTCACACTGTAAATACCATAATCATGTTTATTCTTTCATCATTAAATACCCTTAAAATGCTTCTGCCTTCCTCTATTTTAATCCTAACCTCATCCTACATATATCATTTCAGAAAAAGACCGATTTTGTGTCAAAATACCTGTTAGAACAGTTTTATATAAAAATCTAATATATGTCGCAAGTCGCACTTTCGAGACGTGAAAAACGCAAGTTAAATTTCGTCAATTGACCCCGTAGAACAAGAAACATAGAACTGTCCTCTTTTTGTACGCAAAGTGTATGATTTCCTCTTTCCTTTCATATGGAATTTAATGCATTTGTTTACGAACGATTCATATGAATTATAACTAACGAAAGAAAATTCAGATTTTATTTAAATATTTCCAAGGTAGATTTTAATGTTTCTTCATTAATTTTTTAGTCTTTTCTGGAGATAAATTCCTCATTAAAATTCATATGTGATTGTCACTGGTTCAGTACCGTGGATTAATTACGATTCAAAGAAGTAACCTTCATCTCATTTTAAGGCTAGTAAGGAAATTTATGCATTTACATCTTTAAAAATACAGCATAGCTTGAACTTTCAGTACAACAAAGCTAACAGACAGCGTTTTAATATTAAGTAATTGTGAAAAATACAAATCAAATGAAGCAAGGTTTCTGTTAGATCAACTGATTAATGTAAAACGCACGAATGCTATATGCCTACAAACTAATCTTTAAGAAACTTTTCAAATTTCCAATTAAAAAACGATTGCAAATGCCCAAATTATACGATCCACACTAAATGACAGAAGTTTTGATAATTTTTCTCTAATTATAATATAACTAAAAATCTATTATAGTTTTAATGGCGATTAGGAATTCTGATATTAAATATTGCTGTAAAGTATTTCCAAAGAGCTTCGCAGCAATTCCGCAACAAATGCGTCATAGTTAATTAAAAACATAAAATAATATTTTATACCTTTAACTAGCCGCCCAGATGGTATAGTGATTAGGAGAGCCTCCTGCGGTACCGAGCAGCCCGGGTTCCGATCCCGGAGAAGGCACGGATGTTTCGAAAATGTATAGTGTCTTTGCGGCATGGGGGCACTCTAAATACATACCGAGCCGAAAGTCTTACCGAGAGGTTGATGGTAGGGTAAGAGAGGTGGGAGACGCCAAGACAAGCCCCCGGGATGCTCTCTATCAAAATTAGGGGCGGAACTGAGCGAAGTCCCGCTGTCCCATGTATGATGCTCAAGTCTCTTGCAAACGATAAAAGCAGTCTTTGAATTTTGTGGGCTTGCTCTGATGTTACTGTCAGACAAGTGAGATAAGTCATAACACAACAACAGACTTAGAACTTTGCTTTCTAACGCATCAGTGAAATATGAAATACAGAATTATTACGGATTTTATATATATATATATAAACAACTTTACTCAAATTATATGTGAAATTGTAGTATTTTTTGTATAATGTGACATGAAGTGCTTCAAAGAGATGATGTTCTGCCAAAAAAAAAAAAAAAAAAAATAAAAATAAGATTACAGTCAGCAAGTCTATTTAGGACTGAGTAAAAGGCTATCGCCAAGCTGGCGACGGTTTGGAAAACTAATTTTTGTCACCACATTTGGCGAGAAATCATAAAAAGTCGCCAAACATGGCTACCGTTTGGCGATATTTTGGTTTGGTCACTGTATAACTATGCTTGATATTATGATTGAATAATTGTAACTGATGATTATATGTAACCGTAACCGTGCTCCATTGGTAATTTTGAAAAGTGGAAGATACTATAGCTTTCTCGGCGGCAGGAAAAAAAAATTAGGACATGTTGAAGCATTAGCTTCTCCGTTGTTTAGTTCAGCGTGAGCTCGGAGTATTGAGAGAACTCCGTGTTAGCTTCGCCCTTTTTAGATGCGCTTTGCATTGCGAGGTGTTTTACGTTCTTAGTAGTCTGAAGTGTACATACTCTTTGTGCTCTGCGATACTGAGAAGATATGTACGAGTAATTTCGTGAAAAATTCCAGAACAGTGACTTTTTTTTTTTTTTTTTTTTGGTAAAATATATTTTATTAAGTTGTCATCGAACTCTGTGTGCATTCAACCTATTACGAACCCGTATGCATGCAGTAGTATATTCATTACGGATTTACATACTACATATTCGTCAACAGATATTTGGGGATTATTCAGAAATCATAAGGAACTCTCTTCAAGAAACTGCTATATAAATACACTGCTCGACATTGAAAATGCAACACCAAGAAGGAGTGGTCAGAAAGTGATAAATTTGGAAAAAAGAGAGAGACAGCAATAAGTGATTTTTATTTCAAAATGATAGTCAGAATACAAAGCGAGAACGGCGTCGGCTTAGTAGGATAAGTGATAAGTGACGGAGGGCGTGGGCACCATCCCTCTACCACGATGGTCAATTGGTATAGCGCCACGTCCTCCCTTATCTACGTCGATTACAAGTTTGTCGATTTACCTGTTTTATGGTAACTGGAAGTTTTCCTGATTACAATACTTGCTTTACTTCGTACAAGCAAGTAAAAAATAAACAGCATTTTAATTCAGACAACGAGAAATCTGCCATAGGCGTCCAAAGGAACAAAGAGCTTTTAGTATTAATTTCAAAAGACTGACTGGTTTAATAATCAAATATCCATCGTGACCTACATACAGCATTAAATATTCAGTGTAATAGATTATTCCCACATTTAAAAATGATATTCAAATCTTCTGCATAAATGGCAAAAGGCAGTTTCAAAATTTCTAAAGTTGTGGGTTATCAAGCAAATGCATATTTTGATACAAAGTGTATGAAAAACGATTATGATTTCAATTTTCAATTCTCAACTTTGTCCTTGCAGAATTAAAACACTACGTTTAAAAAATTTACCAGAAAGCGCCAAAATATATTTAAGAGATAAAATAAGTCCTTTTTATCCTTTATCTTACAGTAACTCAGAACTTTCGGATTTTACGATGAGTAAGATCTGTTCCACATGGCTTGCAACATCGAAGATGAGGCTGTTTTTCTCGCCATTTTGCTTATCAGAGAAGAGTAAAGTTTCCAAAAAATTCTCACGAATGTGGGTCTACGGCATAAATTTCTCTCTAAGGAGATAATCACAGAATCACAGAACGACGCAGTCTGCATAAATGTACGCATTAGAAAAACTTATTCCGCTTTTACTAGTATAAACAAATCAGGGAATACAGAATCTTATCGAGAGATTAAGAGCAGATTTGTGTGTTGCCTGCCATCATGGCTCAGAGATGAAATGAGCTTATAACGTTCAGTTGTACTACGTTTGGGGGTTTCCACACTCTAAAAACAGAACATTATCTTTCGTGCCTGGTTCGTCATCTTATCTCGGATAAACCTTGAATTGTTTCCTTTTTACCCTCGCTTTCTATCACTTCCTCGTGTCATAACTTTTCTGCGAAATGCTTGCGCATATGTACATTTAAAATTTTGTTATAGAATGTAGAGTAAAATTTTAAATTAAAATTCTAAAATTTCGAAACGAGAAACACAACAGTATAATACGACAAGAAATAGAAATTTCGCAATTATAACATTCGTCATTATTAACATTTCCATTTATAGCGATCTAGCTAAATTAAAGCAACTTGAATGCTAGAACTTCCTAGAATTGTACAGCAACTATTCGTCGCGTTCTATTGAGTCAGTAATAACAACAGAAGAAGGGTTAAAATATCCTTTTATTTTTAATTAATTTAGATTCACAGGTAGACCCACTTGTACGTACAAATAGCTTTAACTAACACTTATAGCTTTAACTTAAAAATAGAAAACGTGAAGCTAGAGATATTCAGCGCGTAGTTGGTTCTTTGGCTAATATCACCTACGTAAATTAACAGGCATTTAATGTGCACGTCGTAGCAAGCTTTAGCTAGTAACAACAACGTAGCCGAAAATCAGAATATGTTGTGTCTCAAGTAGGTGAGACCTCAGCTCAAATAGGTGTCCGCGAAAAACATCGCGGCAAAAACGTGACGGACGAAAACGTCGCCGAGAAAACAACGCAAGGCGAAAACGTCGTGGTACAAAACATCGTGGGAGAAAAGAAAACAAAGAAAAAACATCATGGCACAAAATATCGTCCTCGAAAAAAAAGCGGTTCAAAAGCTTCGTCGTCGAAAATATAGTGTTAAAAAATAAAGTACCTGTAAATCATCGCATGACGATAACATAGCAAGCATACGTCCTTTAATAACTGCAAATGGATATTCGCATAATGATTTGTGAACGCAAGATGGAAAGAAGGATAATTTTCCTTTCATAATTGTTTTATTACAAATAAATAATACTAAAAATTATTGTTAATAATTATTACTAATTACTAATGTACTAATAATTATTACTAATTACTAATATATTAACAGTTATTACTAATATAATACTATACATTACTAATAAATATTTTGCCCAAATATAAAAAAAATGGAAACTTAAGAATAAAAAAAAATTTTAATGCAACTTTATTAGGTTAATGCAACTATAATTATTTAAACTGACATAGTTAACTAACAAAGGTCATTAATAAATTATATTTTATAAAGTTTTTTTACTGGTATAATCTAAAAAAGAATAGAAAAAGAAAGATGAACTTATTTATAAAAAAATTGCTAAGTTAAATATGAGATTATTTTCTTCACTTTTGTTAATTTGGTACTCTTATAGTGAAAATTATTATTTCTTGTTTTGTTTAAATTTCTTGTTCTGCTTTTTAAAAATGTATTAGTTGATAAAAAAATATGAAAGTAAAAATTATCCTTCTTTCCATTTGCGCTCACAAATCATTATGAGAATATCCATTTACAGTTATAAAAGCCTGACAAGAGCATGTCTCCGATGTTATCGTCATGCAAGTACTTTTGCCAGTACTTTTGCAAGTTTTTTACCACGATATTTTCGACGACGATGTTTTTAAACTGCGAAGCTTTTGAATCGCTTTATTTTCAACGACGATATATTGTACCACGATGTTTTAGAACTGCGAAGTTTTCTCTTTGCTTTCTTTTCTCCCACGATGTTTTGTACCTCGACGTTTTCGCCTCGATTGTTTTCTCCGCGATGCTCTCTTCCGCGATGTTTTCGGCTTGCGATGTTCTCGGTTTTTTACCCTACTTTGCACAAGGCGAGAAACCGAAAACTCATTCTGTCAGAAAAGCATGGGTAGGAAAATAAGAATGTACAGGAAAGGTTCTTTGCAAAACCAAAACTAACTGTTAGGAAAATAAAATAAAACCCACACTTTTTTTCTAAAAACAACTTCCTCTCCATTCGGTTTCAATTATGAAAGTAAAAGTGGTGTGGCTTTTATTTAATCATTCCATATCATAGTTATCCACATTCATTAAGAGCAGTTTAACTTGAATAACATTCATGTCATAAATTGTTATCTTGGCTTTACAGTTTCACAGGATAAAAGCAGTTACATAATAAATAAAGCAGTTAAATGTCAAGTAATAATAAATAAATAAAGCAGATAATAAAGCAGCTAAACTACCTCAATGGTATATGACGTTTCATATTGAATGGGATAAAAAGAATAACTTAGTATAAACTCTATAATTGATTTATTAAGCCGTAACAAATTAATTCTGAAACTATACAAGTTTTATCTGGCAACAGTAAAAACCTTCCGGATACAAAATCGCCACTAATGGCACTGTTAACAAAAATAGCGCCTTCCACGCAGGTGAAAGAGTCCTGTGTATTGGAATATCCAAAATATTATTGTTTATCGTCTTTCCAAGGTATTTTCGCACGAAATTTTGTTGAAGCACTTTCAGGATACGGGCTGCTTGTTAAGAAGACCAGCCCAGGGCCAGCAGCAGCCAAAACCGAAGTGGTTGAAAAAATTCGTGAAACGATTGTAGGAGCAGAAAAATCAGCGTGTCGCATGAGTTCTGAACTCACAGTGCCTCATGTAACAGTGTGGCGCATGTTGCGGAAATGTCTGCATTTCCGACCATACAGCTTTCGAATGGTGCAGGCGTTAAAATCTTTACGACAAACCTTTGAGTAAATCTTTCCGTAGGAATTTGCGAGACAAACTGGAGTCTGTTTGCGAACAGACTTGTTTAAACTTGATTTAAACTTATTTCCTAGAGCTTTATGTAGAGATAAATTTCTCAGTCAATTAATTCAGTTCTCACTTCGCGACAATGCCAAAAATACAATGTATCTGTACTAAAAAAAACGCTTTTAATAAAAAATTAGCATTGGAATTTCAAAATACATTGTTTCCTATTACATCGTGATATTATACAGTTTTTTTTAATTAAGGAATAAGTAGGAATCATTTTAGAAGATGAAGCTATATATTTTAATGTGTAGAATTAATTGATAAGAATACTCACAAGAAACTCAAGTGTTTGTTAGAGGTCATCGTTCCTTGCATCAATGCATTTATTTGATTGCCAGTTAGATATCTGAAAATATATAATATAAAATTTCAGCACATGCATGAAACTTTATTAAATTAAAATCATACTGATGCATTATTTTTATTTACTCTTAACTATAAGAATATATTTGAAGCCAAGAATCACATGAAATTTTTGATGGAATTTCGATTTCTTTGCACTCTTCTCTTGACATGAAGGATGTTACGTTAGTAAGGATGACTGCCAATCAAACAGACACCCGAAAGCTGAATTTTCTGCATTCGAATGCGAATATTTCCGAAAACATTTGAAATTTTTCTTTCGTTCTAAAATTGAATTTACGATTAAAATTTAATAAATCTGCGCAAAAGCCTCTAAATCGGAAATTTTTATCACGAGGTGTTTTAGAAACTTTTGATTCGAAACTATCTAATATCTGATAAGAATTAAAACATTCTATCAAAGATATCAAATATAACTACTAAATTTTACTTTACAATTAAATATACAGCGTGTTTCAAAAATAATATACGTATTTCGAATGCATATATTTATTAAACTGTATGACATACGGATATGAAACTTTACACCCATATGTACGAAACTCTTAATTTCAGATTACAGATGATACAGATGTTCAATATGTCCTCCATCAGCGACACGAACAATATTACATCGATACTCAAATTCCTCCCATACTCGGGCAAGCATGTCCATCGTCAGTGATGTTATGACAATACGGATCCTGTTCTTCACCTCTTCCACGTTCTGTGGGAGTGGTAGTACATAAACGTTGTCTTTAATGAAACCCCACAGGAAGAAGTCACAGGGCGTTAAATCCAGTGATCGTGGAGGCCAGTTGAGTCGCCAGCTCCTTGACGACCAATCCAACGGTTCGGTAGAGTTTTATTCAGATAATCACGCACTTGGCGACACCTGTGAGGGGGTGCCCCGTCTTGTCGAAAAATGAAGTTGTCTTCGTGCAGCCTCGGAAACTTTGTAACATAGCGAGATACTGCTGACCGTTAACCGTGTTTCCATCAAAGAAGAATGGGCCGTAAAGAGATGATCGAGATATCTCACAAAACACATTGATTTTGGGCGAATCTCTTACATGTTCAATGGCTGCATGTAGGTTCTTTAGGCCCCAAATTCGAACATTGTGTTTGTTTGCATGACAACTACATGAAAAGTCGCTTTATCACTGAACACGATACGTTGTGCGAAAGTGTTATCATTGTCAATAGCATCCATCAATAATCTCGTTACAAAATGGCACACGTTTGCGTTTGTCATGAGGACGCAGAGCCTGTAAAAAATGTAACTTGTACGGCTTCATGACCAACCAACGTCTCAAAACACACCAAATTGTTGTTGTAGGCAGTTGTAACTCCCGACTGGCACGACGAGTTGATTTTGAAGGAAAGCAGTCTGAATTCGTGCAACATTTTTGTCGGGAACACGAGGGCGGCCAGAACTATTTCCTTTACATGTACATCCTTGTATTTACAAACTGTCGACACCATCTGCGAATGTTCCACCCATTCGGAGGATCACTTTGGTACCTCAACCTGAAATGTCTTTGCATTGTAATCACGGAATTGCACTTCGAAAGCTCGAGAACACAAAATGATTTCTGCTGCGGAGTAGCCATTTTAAACATGTAACAGTTACTACGCAAAACAGACGACAACTGACATCTAGAGGCTACTAATTTAAACTAGACTATGTATCCGTTTCGCTAATAACCGAGTCGAGGCGCAGTGATCGATAGTTTGGACAAAATAATACTTTGTAACACGTGTATTCTTTTTGAAACACGGTGTATAATAAATTAAGATTAAATTCATATCAAAGGAACTTAAAGTAGGTCAATTCAGATCACATGATGAAGGATTCTTTAACTTTGCATAACCACAGATTACCGACGCTTTTACAGTTTAAAAAATTACGGTAAAAATGAAAAAAAATATTGGGCTGCCAAGCAAGTAATTTCAGTTTACATAAATAGATATCATTGTGTTCGTTTTCTATCTTATCTTAGCCAATCTCTTAATTAATTAATTTTTTTTCTTTTTTAAGATTTGGCAGCAAACGCTCTTAGATAGCTAAAGAAATAAATGCTGCGTTTTTTGTTTACAACTATTACGTTCAGTTTTGTGCAAAGATATATACTTTCGACACATTTAACTTCTTTACTTTCATAAAAGTAAGAAAGCGGCTGAGGTCCACTAATAAATATATGAAGTATATGGTGTTGATTGCTTAACAGAACACATGTATCAGAATCGGTTTAAAATATTCTTTTTGGAGATTTTTCACTTAAAGATGATCAACGGTCTAGTCAACCCACTGAAGCTGATAATTAAAACATTAAAGCCATAACTGGATCGAATCGTCATATAACTGCACGTGAGAATTTTTTACGCACATTTTTATATGAATAATGATATAGAATTGCTTCCAAGAGACAATTTTTGAAATCGGAGGAAGCAATCACGCCAGAATTGGCAAATCGCAAAGGAATCCTGTTCCACCACGACAATGCCAAGCTTCACACATCTTTAGCAACACGTAGCAAATTTTTGGAGGTTGTTTGGGAAATGATGTCGCATCCCCCGTATAGCCTCTACCTTAGACCATCGTATTATCATTTATTTTAAAGTTTACAAAACTTTTTAAACAGTAAAAGTTTTAGTGATTATGATGACCTCAAATCGCACTTTGTTAAGTTTTTTTGCTGATAAAGAACAAAAGTTCTATGATCACGGAATCATAAAGTTATATTAGAAAAATGGCAAGAGGCCACCAGATAGAATGGAAGATGTTTGACTGTTCAGGTTCATTTTTTGTTTGAACAAATACAGTTTTATTTCAAACTAGAAAATCGAGATTACTTTCTTGCAAACCCGAAATTTAACGGACCATTTAGACCTGATAAAAATCTTATTAATACTTGAAAACAAAAATTCTTTTGAGAGTATATATTCTTTTTCTATGATTACTAAATTTAAGTTACGATATTAATTGTTAACTTAAATTAAATCGAAAATTCTGAAAGTTTTACGAAGAGCATCGTTAATGAAAATTACTTGGAGATCAGTATTTATATAGCTCACCAGTTTTTCTTGCAGTGGTAAGCAGTTTATAGACGATTAATTTTAATAGGTAAATGCACATATTGCCTTCACAATTATATCCTATTTATTTCAACTTATTTTGAAAATTGTTCTTTATGGAATGAACAGTTTCTTATGGAATGAACTGTTCCCTAAATGAACCACTTATAGTTCATATAGTAGTTAGAATTGACGCTAATTAGCTGAATTTAATTGGTGAAAAATAAAGGATTAAAATGTGGACAATTATTTTAATGACTCTCTTCCGATTTTTAAACTAACTAAATCAGATGCTGTTTTTATTTCTGAAAAATGTTGCATATCTCTGTTATTATGACTGTCAAATTTGTCTTAAATCTTCTGAAATACAATTACTCGAATTCCGAAAATAAATTAATAGGAATGTAATAAAACAGTTATAAAGAAGTTTTGCTTTTATATGCAAATTAGAAAGAATGGAAGAAAGTGTATGTTCAAGAACGTTTGAACAGAAATTCCAGTTAAAACCATTATTATGCTTTGAGTTAATTACAATTTCCAATGCTTCATCTCAGTAGGTCGTACTATGAATAAACTACTTTTAAATAAGATTTTAGAGGAAAATACTAACTTTAATACTTAGTAGATTTAAGAGTCCACCCTCATTCATTTGTATATTTCTTTCCATTTATAAATTTCTCAAGGTTTAATTATTTTATAAAAGTTTAGAATATTTTAACTGCATGATCTTGAAAATAATATATGTATTTTTTTAATATTTTTTTATCATTTACTTAGGGAATAAAATATATGAAATGGAAACTTGACAATAATGATAATGAGATCATTGTCATTAAAATCTTAATTTAATTAACACTTTCTTTGATTCTGAACAACGTATATCAAATTTTACATCATTAAATTATACATTTGAAATTTAAAGGGTGTATTCAATATGTTCCTCAGAATATCTAAGTGTCAAATATTATCTAGAAGCAGAAGAATATATATATATTATATAAACAGAAGAATATATCTATCTGTCAAATATTATCTAGAATATTATCTACGTAAGCACAGCGAAGCCTGTTTTAGAATCCTGAAGAGAAGAAGCAGAGTGCTGAAAGAGTGATAAACTGGTTTTTTCGATTGCTTCAGAAACGATAATTAGAGTTGTGACGCAATGCTGTGTGAGATCAATATTGAAAATACTCACAGATTTTCCAAATTCGGAATATTTTTGAAAGCATCTCTGTTTACTAAAGTGACTTCAGCAGATTTCAAGATTCTGTAAAAAATAAAAAGGGAAGAAAATGTAACATTTACATACAATTTGTTAAAGCTACAAGCTACAAGATTCTAGTTTGAAAATAAATAAACAATATATCTACTAAAATAAGTTGTTATAAGTTTAAGCCTAATATGAAAGATAGACGAAAAATATATTTATATTCGTCAGCTGCATCCTTTTATGTTGCAGAATATATTTCCTAAAAACTTGCTTCTAAATGTTTTATTTGCATAATATCAACTTTTATTGATGAACATATTCAAGGCGCTGGAAAGTAGAATTTTATATTCATATTGAATAATTTTCTGAACATACTATGAACAATTTCATGTTTGATTCGGGTTGAATGCTTACAAGAACATATATTTCGAAATGTTTGCCTAATCTAATACAGCAAAGAATTTTCCTCTGCTTAAGGAAAAGACTGCTTTCGTGAAGGACCGCTTCTAGAAAAGATTGGTTCTGATTCCTCTATCACAGATTGAGAAGACCACGAAAATGCATATGCAGTCAGTTTGTTGTCCGGAATTCAAACCGAGTTGAAATATCACCTTTCAGCATCCTTGGTTATTGACAGATCCGAGATAAGGAATAATAGTTCTGTTGTTCTAAAAAAATTTAAAATTAATTAAATCGTTCTAATTGCAATAGGCCGTAAATAGAAAGTGCTCATACACCTTAAACCCCTTATGATCTTCCAATATGTGACTGTTGCAAGAATTGGGATATTTTATTTATTTTACAAGCAATTACTTCCAACTTTTTACAGCTGCCTACATAATATAGCTCTGAAAACTAGTAACCAGAAAGTTCGTGCTGCCAAAAATATTTTTGCAATTTAATCCGCTTTGTGACAAAATTTTTTGCAAAGCTTTCACCTTGCGCGCGTTGGTATTTTAAAAATGGCTCATGGTACATACCAGAAATTGGATGGAATTCTTTATATGGGCACCATTTTCTAACTGAGCCAACAATCAGATGAATATTTTAATATTAAAAAATTTTATGAACGAAAACATTACAGATTTTTTAAATAAAATATATTTTAGACTCAACTCCAAATAAAATAAAAATTTAACCAGAAATTCTTAGAATTTTTGGTTCACAATAGTTTTCAAATGTTAAAACAGCTACATATTAAATACGGAATTAAATTTGCAACAGAATGTTTTAAACTGTGCGCGCAAGGTGGAAACATGACGAAATTTTTTGTCACAAAGCGGATTAAATTATAAAAATATTTGTGGCAACACAAATTTTCTGATTACCATTTCACAAAGCAGTTATATTATGTAGTCAGCTTTAAAAAGTTGGAAGCAATTGCTTTTAACATAAATAAGTTATCCCGATTCTTGCAACAATCACATTCGAATATCTTATGGATTTTAAGGTGTATGAATTAAAATTAAGGCTCCATAGCGTAGAAGAAACAACACGCAGCCTCATCTAAAACATTTATAAGTGATACGAACTTGGAAAATGAATATGATCTTTCCAAAATATCTCCATTAGGTTACCACCTCATTGTTACGAATTTTGTACATACATAAATAATTTTAGAAAATTTTTTGTGAAATGGTGTGTGTTTTTATGTTTTTTTTAATTTTTATTTATTTATTTTGTTTCGTATAATGTAACATGATATGCTTGAAAGAAAAGATGCTCTGCGGAAGAAATACAAATACAGGGGCAAGTGTACTTAACGTTGAGTAAATGGCTATCTAGCTACATTGGCGACTTATCGTCAAGCTAATAATGGTTTTGGCGACTAATTTTTGTCCCCAGTTTTCAGTTTTGGCGAGAAATTGCAAAACGTAGCCAAACCTGGCGACATTTTGGTCCGTTCCCTGCGTAATTGTAATTGAGTAACTGTAATTCATTCTCTATGAGGCTGTAACCTTGTCCGGCCCTCATATACCTTCCAGTATTTTCGAGGAGTGGATGAGAGTAGATATTTCTCGGCGCCAGGGAAAACTATACAAGAAGTGAGACAGCATCAGTTTCTGAGTTGTTAATTGTTTAGTTCAGCGTAAATTTGGAGTATGAAGATATCTCCATGTGAACTCTTTGCATACTGTGAAGAGTTGTACAGCAGTACGAGTTCACAGCTGCGTATTATGAATTCTAATTATTGTTTAAAAATAAAGTGAAATATGAAACGTAAAACCTACGGCAAACCTCTAGATTTTGAAAATCCAAATCAATCTCTTTCTTAAACTTTTTTTTCTGTCGCAACCAGAATTTCTTAAACTTTTTTTTCTGTCGCAACTCCCTTTTTATCACTGAGATTTTTTTGCAACCCTCAGAACCTCATAATAGTATTTAAAAATATTTTGTGGGACCCTATAAATAATGCGCAAATCAGACACACGCGTGAGTGAAGCTGTCGATTATTTCCCTTGTACTGTAATATACTATTGCAGTTTTAGGTCATTAACTTTAATTTGTAATTTTAAGACACAGAACAATGGCAAAATTTTAAGGAAGTTACAGACGAAATGACAGCGTCACGTGCAAAGGAAGGAAAATGAGCGTTTATATTATAAAAAGAATGCGTCGAAACGTTTTTGTTTTCTTTGTCTGTAGTGCCTTATCTTTATCTGTTTTCAGATACATTGTGTAAAAATATATGATAATGGTAAAGTTATTATAATAAGTTAAAGAAACATCAAAACTATTAAATTTTTTGGCGATTCCTGCTGCAGGTCTCCCGACTCACAGTTTAAGATTCGCTACCCTAGAGGGATTCAAAATAAAGTGGAGTTCATATTCCCCTTGTATTTAACTTAATTGAATAATCCAGTTCATTCATAGAAATAGTCGCGCACAAATCTCAACCTATAAATTGAATGCAATTTGTTTCTTTCACATAATTCTTAACATTTTACTGTTCTGGTTCTTTTGTGGAGGATACCATTGCGCATGTAAGAGACAGACATTTTCTACTATTTGATCAATTAAACATAATCCGGACATTTTATGACTGATGCTTAAGTGTGAAAAGACAGTTATTTCTTTTTGTTGACGAGTCCATAAGTTTAAATAATAATCACAGATAATTTAGCAATCTATATTCTTACGATTTAAGTTTTGATTTGTTTTGGGAAGCAATTACATGCAAATACCGTAAATAGTCTTTTCTATTACCCTTCGCCAAATGCATCTCGAAACTGATTAGAAAGAGCAAGGAGAAAGGCACATACACAACAACTTGCATTAAAAGTACTTATTTCATTTTACTTCACTTTCAGAACTTTCTGGTAAATGAATTTAGAAAAGACGTCGCCAAAATATCACTTTAGCAAACGCAAATGCATCTTGAAACCTTGGCAACATAAAAGTATTTCATTTCTTGTAGTGGATTAAATGACTACGAATGCCCGAGGTTTCAGTAACGCTACAAAAGCGAAAAATGGCAATTTCATTTCCGTTAACCAAGTGAAACGGCGACAAGGAATGCGAATGTAATTTTCGTAATTTTAAACTCAGTAAAGGTTATAAAAATATAAATTCTTACAGTATTTTCAAATTTTCATTCGGTTGGAAATAATTCGGCTCCAAAATCACCAGCATATTTCCAGACAAATCTCTGAAATAAAAAAAAAGTTGAAAATTAAATGGTTTTTGTATTTCAGTTATATTAACAAAATATACGCTAAATAAAAAAACAACAACTTGACATAAACAAACAAACAAAAAAGGAATCTGAAAATTTTCAGATTTCGACGGTCGCCCAAAAGTAAAATGAAAATTTTCACTCAAAGTCCACATCCGCATTATAAAATGATACTTACAATTCTTGCACGTTAAGTGGCAAGTTCTGAGGAGGTTTTTCTAAGTTTTGATGATCACAGAACAACTTAAAGCCGGAACAGCGACAAACGTTAGGAACTGTTCGTAATTCTGCAATAAAATGTGTCAGTATAATATTTCATTTTCAAAATCATTAGAACATTTATCGTTACTCAACTACACAAGCTTCAAATCAACAACATTTTAGTTATAAACACTAATTAAATTTGAATCTTAACTATAAAACTACCATACATTTATAATGGCTGGGAGGTTTATTTAAAAGCCATTAGACCTGCGCCATCACAAGGGCCAGAAGGGGTGGCCATTTCATTATGGAAGCATCTAATTGGTGGCCAATGTTGCCTTCTATGAAGGGAACATAAAGGTGTCCTCCCTGGGATTTGAACCCGGGCCCATCGCTACGTCAGTCAGGATCACTAACTATACACTGGCTGGGGGGGAGGGCAAAATGCTATACATAGCACAGTACATAAGTAACAGCCATCAAAATATCACAAAATATCATCTATAACACAGTACATGAATATCAACCATCAAAATACCATATGTAACACAGTACTTGAGTAACAAATATAAAAATACCGTACATAACACAGTACATAAGTAACAACTATGAAAATACCATACATAACACAGTACACAGTAACAAATATCAAAATATCATTTATAACACAGCCTATAAGTAACCAAAACTTAATAGCTTCAACTGTCAGTAGCAGCAACTGCGCAAAAAGATGGCTAAACAAATTCAATTAAATAGTCTGTTATTTAAAGGCAATAATTCAGTTACAAATTTAATTAAATTATGAGCTAATTAAAATATAGACATCATAAATGAGATGCAATGAAAACTCTCCTTAATGTTATATTGAAATATAAGAATAAGATTAAATATCTGAATTTTAGTCTCCGTGAATGCACAAATTATTCATTTTATCTGTTTTTAAAATGAATGTATTATAGTATTTCAATCTCGAAACCCTTCCATTTCCAAGTATAGCTCGACCGCCTCATCCGCGACTGTGAGCGCAAACAAGCATGCGCCATTCGGACCGAATTATTCTCAAAATAGGGTGAAAGGATGGGGATTTTCTTTCCCTCCAAGCTCTTTTCGGAGAAGAGAAGACCTTTCACATCGCAGCAAGTAATACCGTCCCTTTTGGACGTGTCTATGTGTTTTGGCAGAATGCCAACCAGGATTGCGCTTGAGACGGTCGCACTATACATATATTAGAACATCATACTTCAGAATAAAGTCCCTCATTTACAAATGTTTAATAATATTAAATAAACGGCTTCACAGAATAGCTTTAACAAATATACTGCAGCTTCGTAGATTTCGCTTAATGAATTTTCAATATATTACTTTATCTGATTCTCTCTTAAGCTTCTTCAAAAGTCAAATATTTCATTTGATTACACTTTACCCATATCAAATTTCAATTAGAGCACTGTGATTACTTAGAGCACTTAGAGTATCGTACGCCGCCCAACCGAAATAGTGGTTAGTGACTCTGACTACAGCACCGAAGGAGTCCGGGGTTCGAATCACGGAGAAGACATGGATATTTGTAAATGTAAAGCGTCTGTGCGGCATGGGGGCACTCAAAATTTGAAACGAGATGAGAGTTCTCTCGAGAGGTGGCTGGTAGGAGAAAAGGGAGGTAAGACCATTAGACCCGATACCCCCTCGTGGTGCTCTGCTTCAGCCTTGTTATTGTAAATTTGTTTTAATTAATTCGGGCCGCTAATGGCATTTAATAAAAAGATTTCTAGATTGGGAAGGTCGCATTTGATTTATTTTTCCTTTTTAACAAAAAATTATATAATACTAGCGGGCAAGCCCGCTATATATTGCTCGTGTGTAAAAGAGTTCCCGTGTTAAATTTCGCCGGTATTCGAAAGTTGGACCGAAATACCAGTGTTCAGCGATTTTACCTAGGCTGCGCCCGCTTAATTCACAAATGCGTCCATAAGATCCTGCATACACGTTACACGTGCGGAAAATCATGAAAACACCCATGCAGCGAGCCCTTTTGCCGAGATTCGAAAGTTTGACCGAACTACCAGTGTTCAGCGATTTTACAGCTCAGCCGCTAATGGGGGCCTTGTACGAAGTGTAATCCAAAAAATTGCATTTGATTTATTTTTCCTTTTTAACAAAAAATTATATAATATTTATAATTACATAATTTTTATAATTATGTCATCAATGATGAGAACTGTTTAGCTTTTTTTCTTGCAGGGGGTTTGAGTTGAACTCTCATAAAGCTTTCCAGGCAATTAGTAGAAGTTTCCTTCTAGAAAATTTAGAATTTGCCCCTATTTGAACTCATAGATTTTTCTGGGCTCAAACGTTTACATCTTTGAAATATTGCAAGCGAACATTTCAAAATAATAATGTTTTTCTAAATATTTTAATTACATTATGCACTTTTGAGAACTAAAATGCGATCTCGGATTATGTTACAGGACACAGCGCTTGTGTGCTACTTTATATTTTTTATACTGGATGCATTCTTTCTGAAAGATTTGAGTGTTTCTTCTGTATTTATATAAATGAATGCATTATAGAAGATAACAACTAATTTTATAACCTAAAGGTTCTTCGGTAAGAAACAGTGTGCACTTTTTAATGAACTGATAGTTTTTTATTTGATGTTTCCGGGGGAAAAATTTACGATCTAAGCTATAAAAAACTCGAAACTAATGCATGTAATAAGCTTCACATTTCTTGTTAGTAATGAGCTTTAATTAGTTCAGACAGTACTGGCATTAATGAGCAATAAAGTATTATAATTTAAAATCCAAGATGTTCTGTAAAATTGACAACTCTAAGAATTAATAAATTTGCAGGAATACATTACAGCATAATGCGGTAAGATTTATGGCAAATGTTACCATGCAAAATGAAGAGACAAGACTATAGACACTATTTTAATTTCGATAAAGAGAATATTTTAATTAGGTCTCCAACTAAAAATGAAAACTGCAAAAATATTTTTTAACGTTCTCATAATTCTTATAAAGCATCGAAATGTGTTTAAATTTAAACGTCTTTGATAATTTATAAATTGGATCATACTTGCCTTATCCACTCGTAATAAACTCTCAAATTAACTAATTAACTCTCTAATTAATTATGCAAGAGAGTTTATGAACTCACTGTTCGTATTAAGTATTATAAGAGGAAACATAATATTATTCAATACTTTTAAGAGATTTTTTTGTCAAGTTGGAAACTAAGATCATCATTTACTTCGTTATTGTTATACATTGTAATCAGTACATTCATTTTAATAAAATTTAATTTCATAATTAACATTTAATTATAACATTCTAAACTAAATAAAATTTAGTAAGTAGAACCTAGAAAACAACTGAAAAAACTCTACAGTATTTTTCAGAAAATTTTTAATATAATAAAAACATTTAACTAGGGAAAATTTTATTTACCACATCCTTCAACATTTTTTTCCCGATCTTCATCCGGCCTTTTCCAGAAAAGGTTGTTATAATATTCTTTCCTGTTGTGATCCTCTGAAAAAAAAAAATCTGATGTGTACACCACATGACTTCCTTGTACGGAATATTAAATTATACGCATTTTTTCTTGAATTTCATTTAAATTGATTGTATTGAATTAAATCTACTTCGCCGACAGCGCATAAAACAAATAGAATAAATGCACTCTTTAAAATTCACTATAACGACACTCTGAACGCACAAAATTTATATCATTTGAAGAATTATCTTATCGTTGCCACATGTTCTATTCAAATACTATAATAAATCTAGAACGATGTATGAAAGGAATTAAGCAAACAAAACAGAAAAGAAACAGTTTTTCACAGACGATTGAGTATTTCTCATTCAATTAATTCAGTTCTCACTTCGCGGCAAGGCAAAAATACATAAAAACTCAAAATATCTGCATTAAAAATTACGAAGCAAATCTTAAACACCTATTTCCTCGAAAAAATTCCAAAAAGGATTAAGCATGCTTTAATTCGCAATAATAAATGAAGGCGTTATTTTTGTTGTTGCGAAGCTTAGTCCTCTAGATTGGCAACAAATCTACAATTCTGCTGTTTTGAATGTAAACAAATATGTCCGCCATGTTATTTAAAATTTAACCGCACTTAAACAGCTCTTAAATTGTTGATAATTGTACAAATATTGCTTCCAGAATTACGAAAGACATAAAAACCTTAACCGGAAGATAAGAACAATCTAATTCAATTATTTTTAAAGCAAAAAACGTACAATTTACAAACATATAAGAGTAAAGAAACTGAGATCACTGTGCCGAGTAACAGAGTGGATATATATATAAACTATTAAACCCAACGTATATAAATATATTTATATACGTTTGGGGCGGCCGATTGCAACCAAAATAGGAGGTGCACATCTACATGTTACAGCAGTCCTATATACAAAATTTCAATGTTCTGAGGCTACTCATTTTCGAGTTATGCGAGATACGCACGTACGTAAAATTCTCTTCAGAATTCATTTTAAAGCAGTTTATAATTTTTTTGGAGGAAAAGTGTCTTTTATTCTTTCCTTACGTACAGATATCACGCAAAAACATCGTTAAATTGCATTCGATAGCGGTCAAAATGGATATTTTCGTTGAAATATGCTGCCTGAAACTTTTCGTGATTACAACACTTTCTTTTTTCTTCGTACAAGGAAGTAAAAAGGATGGATTTTAGTGTTAAGGATTTCAGTAAATTATATATTTTTTAATTTTAGTTAATTTCAAGCAATTTTAGTCGCCACGTCTCCATGACCGCCATGAAACAGAATTTGGTACTATTTGGTTTCGAATGCCGTAAAAAAATTGCAGCTAAATTGTATGCGCGAAAGCGCCAAATCTAGCAAACACACCCCTTTAACAGCGTGCCAAATCTCGCGTACGCGCTGATTTCAGATTGCCTAAGTTTATATTGTTCCATACTTCTTAAGACGCCATTAAAATACAAGTTTAATTTTTAATTCCTTTTTTGATATCCTATGGATTTAACAATTTGGGAATTGCCTATGATGAAAAGTCTGCAACAGAATTTTGCGTAAAGTGCAGAATCACCCACTGCTTGACGCGTTTTTAAGAATTGCACATACTCGGTATCCATGTACACATCGACTTATTTTCACTCAAATCCCAGAATTGCACAAAAATGGCACTGCGCACACCCTTGACTTTATCTAAGTACACATCGACCTATTGTCACTTAAAAAGTAAAAGAAAATTGGCAAAATTCCAGTTGTTTTTACCCATGTAAAAAGAAGCAAAGAACTAAGCGCGCGATTCTAGACTTTACAGAAAATGTTTTCAAAGAAAAGGCATCATTCATTATAGAAAATTAAGTTTGAACAACCAACGAGATGAGATTAAGCTTAGCGATAACTCGGTAGCGGAATATTATATGAAATTAACCTTTCATCTAAATTAAAACATCAATATTTAGATAGTTATTTACTATTATATTTCCTTTTTTGCGTTAGGGTTGCCGCAATTACTTTTGGCAGCACTGGCATCGACAATAGTTTGGCGATTTTTTACGGCCCCGAAACCAAATAGAACCCAGAATTTCTGTCGTTGCATGTAGAATAGTGTTTTAAACTAGGAAGTCATTAAGTAGAAAAACGTGATTCTACATCGATACTTCCAAAAGTGACCATAAATAACATTTAAATTTTACTAAAACTCTCAATATAAAAATTAAGTAACTTGCTGAGAATTTTCACATGCCGCGTAATAGTGATTATACTACACAGAAATGCTGGAAACATGGAAAATTGGTTTTTCCTTTTGCTAGCCAGACATGCTACCAGTTACACAGCTACAATACACACAGGAAAGGGTGATAATTACTTATAATACAGCGATACGTTCTCTCAGTGGTTAGGCGACACGGTTTCCAACAATTTTCCAACGCAAATAAAGCAATATGCAATTTTTTATACAAATTTCATTAGAAATTCAATCAGAATAAACTTATCAGAAATATGCTTGCTACAAGCTAGAAAACAAAGAAATCATATTATGGAAAAAGGAAATCAAAATCAACCAGTAATGAAATGAGTAAGGTTTGAACAACTACGAATCAATTTAGGGTATAGTTCTTGACAATACCACATAAAAAAAATTAAGCGATATTTCAATATTTCTGTCTGATATATGTCCGTGAAGGACGGACAAAAACAACATTGATTGTTCTTGGACGTACGCCAGAGGGATAAAAAAATCCAAAAACAATATTTGTGGCAAGTTATCTTCAAGATAGATTCTCTAATGTGGCCCCGGGAAGATGAATGAAAGCGGTTCCAAGGGCGAAAAGATTGTGTTGACAAATCCACCCTCGGAAAGTTTCATCTTTGTTGACATCTAGGTCAGAGACGATCTGTGAAGTGACATATCGACAACAATGTAGATAAGGATTCGCTCCATTCGTTCTTTTCAAATAACGGAAAGAAATCTGCCAAACGTGGCACCATAGACCTGAAATATCAAAAACACGCATAGCTCTCCTAAAACCAGGGCTTATGATTCAATAACGCCACTATTATTTAATTCAAATAATCGCCTGATATTACATCACTAGCCGACTGCAGCCAAAGCACAATTTGTAAGTTCTATATAGCCCTGAAAAGAACATTTATGGAATCATTTCAGTATGAAAGAAATCAGTTCTTATTTTATAAGCAACAACCAATCCGTAAATAATTTTTTTATTGCCCAAACAGGAAACAAAAAAATTGGAAACTTCAAATCAATACCTATGACGTCACGATTTAAATACATATAACAACATTTTTTCAATACCAGTAAAGGAATTAATGTGGCGTTAATATATCATGTCAGTTAGACTAACTTGAAACAAAAAAAAAATTGCCAACATTTCTTTTAAAATGCTGACATTAACGAACGATTTTCGGCTTAAATGACGTCACATACAATCGCGTGCTTTTCAACGTTCAGAATATTACATTATAAAAATAATAAATAAAAAAAGTCTGAAAGGAATTTTAAATTACGTTTAAAGGGGCGGTTATTTAAAGTTTTGTGTGTTACCTTTATTTATTAAATTTCATGTTCTACGTACTCAAAACATAAAATTCAGTTCAACAGCAATATCGCAAAATAATTTTAAAATGAGCCTATCTTTAGAATTTCTGAAACACAGCCTCGCGCGCTGGAGATAAAAAATATTTTTTCTGTACAACGTTGCCATGGATCGCTTTGAAATCCTGAAGTTAATCAAAAATTCGTTGAAGTCTCACAAAATATGAAATCGGTCATAAAACAAATTTCAAATTCAAATTAGGGCTTCCACATGCCCATATTCTATGGAAGATTATGTTATTAAATACGAGAAACATATATACACTCATGCAGATTCTTCATTATTTTAATTTCTTTAAATATAATACAGGGCTCTAATATATGGTGGCAACAATATGAAAAGTGAAACAACGCTTATGGTGAATCAACACAAAAGGTCAAAACGAAATTAATAGTCCTACCAGGGCAAATAGCCACCCCCGAACTAATAATAATATATTTAATGTTTGGCAATGATACTTTTTAGTCCAAATGGGCAGTTTCAACAGAAGGCTTATTAATTTCGTTTTGGCATTTTGTACTGAAACCTATAAACGGCGAATCACTTTTCAAATTGTTACCACCGAATATTATCGCCCTGTATTATATTTAAAGAATTAAATAATGAAGAATCTGCATAAATGTATGTATGTTTCTCGCATTGTGATAAACAACGGTACCTAGAGCCATCGAAATTTGAATAACGTAATCCTCCATAGAATATGGTCATGTGGAAGCCCTAATGTGAATTTGAAATTTGTTTTATTATCGATTTCATTTTGTAATACTTAACGAATTTTTGATTAATAAAACAAACGATTTCAAAGCGAGCAGTGGCAACACTGTACAGGAAAAAAACATTTTTATCTCCAGCGAGACTGCGTATCGGAAATTCTAAGGATATTAACATTTTAAAATTAGTTTGCGACACGGCTGTTCTGAATTTTATGGTTTGAATGCAAAGAACATTATATTGAATAAATAAAGATAACACACAAGACGTTAAAAAAAAACCTTTTGGGGGCAATGAAAAATCTGAAAGCTTTCAGGTTTTTTATATTTTTTTATTTCATACTTTGTAAAACTTACAGTTTTTTTATTAACATTTCATACTTTCTAAAACTTACAATTTTTTATTAACAATATGTACGATTTGAAAACGAGCAGTGGCAACACTTTGAAATAAAACAAATTTTTACCTCCAGCGTGCGACACTGTTGCCACTCGAAAAAATGAAGGCGAAAATTAGCGTTTTCAGAGCTTTTAATTAATACCTCGGCTAATTAAGATCACAGGAAGATGAGAATGGTCGAAATGGCTTCCCACGAATTTTTGGAATCCGGAGTTCCCCGCCGTTCCGGAGAAGATAATGCCACAAACAAACAAACGCGCACTGATTTTAATAGTATAAATTTTGCATTAATTT